GCTGCGTGATCTTTTCACGCAAATAAAAAAGAGACGAAACTTTTGTACCGTAAACACACTTCATTAGAGTTTACGAATGTACTACCGCAGTTTGTGTCACTTTTATTATCCCAAGTGTATAGCGTACTGGAAAATTAAAGTTACTGCTAGCTGTTTTTTATTGCTGAAAAGGTAAATAAAAAAATTAGTATTTTTACTTTCTTTTTTATTTATCAAATGTACAAATGAACAGTCAACATTTAGGAAGGGGGCCGTAGCCATACAAAGGCTGCCTGAGAAGACGGGTGGCGGTGGATCGGTTCGAACCCGGGACTCCCAGGTCACAAGTTGGTGACTTAACCACTTGGTCGCCACCGTCCGGTACTCAGACTTCCGATTTTTCTTGCTTTCTCGAAATCACCTTATCTGTTTCCGATGCACAATTTTCACGGCTCGGTGATCTTTACTGTTTTGAGTGTAAAACGTAGTTTTAAACCTACAAGTGGCAATCTCATCTTTATCTAAACGGTCAAAATTCATTTTTTTATGTAAAAAAGTAAAAGTTTATTTGCTACCGGTAACTATACTAATTATTAGGTTCAACAGAATAGATGGAAGTTTACACAAATCCTGTCACATTAATTTATTTCCATTCTAAAGCTTCTATACAAGCATTTCAATGCCGCCAGGAAAGTGAAGTATGGCATTAAAGGCACAAAGGCATACAGGATGCATTTCCACTACTACGTCTGAAACAGCCGAATTCCTAGAAGTCCAGTTTTTTGAGGTGTTCGCAGCAGTTGACGAAGTCCGACTGCAGCCTCCATACTTTCTGCCAAGTTTTCCAAAACCCCGATTTACTGCCATTTTCTTTCGAATCGGAAACGGTAACAATCAAATTATTGACCCCGCGCAAAACTTCATCCTCAAGGGAAGACAAAGGACTCTGACATCCTTCGTAAACCACATATTTGAGGTAATTGCTGCCTTATATCAAGGTATCTTCGACGATACGATGATCCCTCAGTCCTGGAAACACGGTATCATTTCACCCATTGACACGGGTTTCGAAAGAAAAAAGAACGCTTGTGCGCAACAAATCTTCTGTTTTGCACAAGATAAGTGGAGGTAGTAAACCTCGTCTACCAACACTTCTCTGAATCTTTTGACAGGGTTAACCACTATATACTGCTGTGAAAGCTGCATAACTACGGTGATCGAGAACTTCTCCTTGACTGGATTGAGGAATTTATTCGACAACAAGCCGTATCAGTTCGAGTAAACTGTTCGCTATCGGGACCAATTGAAGCTCTCCGTGGAGTTTCACAAAGATCCCCTACAAGTTCTGTAAGGTTTCCTAGAATTTATAAACGAATTGCCAGATGTGCTCGGAAAAAAAGCAACATTATTCACTGACGAAACTAAAACACGGAGAATGATACAACATCCTGAAGATAATGAAACTCTACAGGAAACTCTACGCAGCTTACCGATAGTCTATCACTAATGACATCGAATACAACGTTGAAAAATGTAAGGTTGTATGGATGCGCCGCATGGGTCGCTTTCCATACTTACTTCGAACTCAGCCATTACTGCGTGCTCCAAGCAAAAAGGACCTGGGAGTTATCGTTCGTGAGGATCTATGATGCTCCCTCCACACATTGAGCAAGAGCGTCATCAAAGGCCATAAGGTACGTTGGATTGCTAAAGCGTGTTTTTGGATTATTCGAATCAGACCTATTCCTCCGTTTGCTATCGGCATACATTGGACCACGCGCCGAGTATGCTATGCAGATGAGGAATCCATGGATAATTCACAACCAAAAGGCACTGAAAAGTGCGCAGAGAACGGCAACTAAAATGGTCAAATGGTTACAATCTAAAACCTACGGTATATTCTCAGACTCTATTCATCTGAATACCATCCAATACGAGGAGACATACGTAATCCTCCTATGTCAAATACAACTTCAATCAAACCACCGGTGTAGTACTCTATTAATACAAACCAGTAATGGTCCCCTCCGAGGATATACGTTTAAACGTTTGCTCCAAAAGAGTCGGCTAGACTACAGGCATCACTCTTTCAGCCTCAGAGTTCGTGATATACCCGAAACTGTCCTCCACCCGCAAGTTGTTTGTGCACCAACAACCATCGATTAATTTAAGTCACGACTGGATAAAGCATTGAAACACGTAACTTTTCGGCATTCGTGAATGAACTTTATAATTTCTTATTTAATTGTGCTACCAACCGAACCCAGTGTGCGCACAGATCCTATGGTATTCAGTAGCCATCAGACCTGCAATTTACCGATAATGACAGTTTGAGTTCTGAATTTGTCTAACTTTTAAGGGTAGCTTTCTTTGAATGGTTAGTCTCCTATCAATGGTTGCAAACGTTTAGAGAATTTAGGGCATTCTCTGTAGAACATATCTTTCATCCTAAATGTAGAATTATAGTTTTCCAATATTACAAATTGTTCTCTTTTTCACATGTTTGTACATTTGAATACTTTGTTCTCTGGGGGTCCTAAACGAGGATACTGGTGCCCCGGCGGTAGCGTCATCAAATTATCACCTCGGGTGAGTGGCCAAATACCACCACCACCGCCTGGCTTTTCCCATTGTTTATGTTGTATGACAGCCCTTTGATTGGCCGCTTACCCCCTTCCTGAAAATATATCTTTGCGTAAAAGGAAGTAAAATGAAAAATAAAAAAGATGAACTTTCACAGGATTAACACTCTTTAGCTCCGAACCCGAGTTACCTGCCTCAGTTTTCTATCGCTGCGTTTCATCCTTTAACAAGGGGCCAGGTAAAGTGTAAGGACCGCCCTGATACCAGCCTTCCTCATACCCTCACACCATACAGGTGACCGACCATCGCGGCACTTCTTCCAGCCTTGCCCGTGAATTACCAAGAGTGATTGGCATAAAAGCGTGGGGACCGAAGGGCACAATGCACGTATCCTAGCAACCGACAGGAAAGAGATTCAAATGTTGAACTTCCGTTATTTTTCTTTGCTGTCTATTTGGTGCAATTCCGTTGTTTACCTATTTCACTCGTGAAAAGGGTTCAACAACAACAACAACAAAAACAAAAACAACAACAACGGTAGCTGCAGCAACAACTGGAAGTCAGTGAACGATATTTATCAAACAATTGGCATTTCAAATCCCCGGGATTTCGTTTGTTCCGATTCTCCTCGAATAGAAATGTAGATTCATAAATGAGAATTCAAATGATGGTGATGGGATTTTTAGTACGACAAAATTCTGGGAGGTCGGGGAAAGGAAATGACCGGGGGGGAGGGGGAGTTGGCGGATGTGTACAACCATCCTTGGTCATGCCAACTGCACAGGCGTTTATTGGTATTGGTAAGCTTACGTTGATAGCTAATGATCTGCTCGAGCTGAATTGTACGCTGACGTCTATTCACGTACTTGATCTAACTGGTGCATTAGTTTTCCCAATGCACAGTCCCAGTATCACAGAATTCACAATGATGAGGTCCGCATGTTTTGTGAATTTCCGTTTTGTTTTCTTCATTTTGCTTCCTTCTATTGAATATTTATGTGATACAATTTTCCGGAAAGATGAAGCGGCCAATCAAACGGGGCTGCCCTGGAACACAGAATGGGCAAGTCAGGCTGTGATGATGGGATTCGAACAATAATCTAGGGATGCTACCACTCGACCATCACCGCCCAAATGTGACTGAACGTGAGTAAACATTGCTGTTTCCATGCTGATGACCTGGTTATATGTGATTTGTTTGCCTAGTCGATGGGATCGGTTTTCCCACTACTCGTATTTATCACACACACACACACACACACACACAAATGGACCCAACTTCTAATACAACATTTTCGCAAAAAGTGAGGAGACTGGATTTATACATTTCACTCCTGAAGCACATAAGGATACCGTTTATTGTACTTTTTTCTAACAAAACATAACACTTAATTCGCTAATCGCACTGGTCTACCATGTGTCACACCAGCTCGAAAAATGCCCCTGGTATTTTGTCCTTTTTGCTTACTTTCGTTGTGGAACAGAGAACCTCGTTTGATCAGACTCACGCCAACATGATTGTTCAACTTCTTCGTCGCCACTTGATACAATAATATTGAACCCACTTTATCTACTTCATCAAAATCAGAGCGAAGACAAATGTCGCACTATATTTTAACATTTCACTTGACCTTTCTTACTCGCCAACTTAAAACAAGCAATACATACATACGGCTATTTGGCCTTTGTTTCATTTATCTACTCTACAGCTGGTGGACGAACATTTTGCTCTGAAATTACTATTCTACCGTGGGCAAATAAAGTACACTTTTCACTTGACTCTAGTGGATTTTCCCATCATTCATCACTGTCTTTCGACAGACCGAAATTCCCCAGGCCCACAAAGCTAATTCATTCATTCAATTACAGTCACCTGACTCGTACATCGCCGGTCGCGTTTGACGTGCTAAGTAGTTTGACAAGGTCAGCGATAACACAGATGCAGGTCAGTCGAGAAATCTCGTCAGACAGAT